AAGGAAACTTCATATTGAATTCAATATTTTCAGATCTGCTTTACTATTACTCCTTAGAAACATTTGCAATCCTTTGTGGCACAACTACCACCATCCCCCAAAGAGCTATTAAATTGTTGACATCCAAATCAAGCACCGTGTGCTGTGAAAAATTAGCAGCCATTAAGTCTGCAGGTAACTGTCAATTGCAGGAACTGTTCAGGGTTTCATCTAAGGGTGCCTCTCTTATTACAATAATGACACATGATGTGTAATTTAGTCCCATAGGCTTTGTCTAGAAGCTATTTTTGTTATGTGAGCGCCTGAGCGAGAGGGACAGTAATTGCTGCCGTCATGTTATATACGCTTTATGTGATCCAAATTGTGATTTCTGCACAAGGATTAGTGAAGCTTTGTGCACATCAGCACTTCCCTAAAAAAACTGATTGTGACATAAGCTGTAACGCATGCGGAAAAACAGAAATGTTACAATTATTAGCAAACATAACAGACTTGTGGCTTTAAATCCATAAATATAGCCTCTGAAAACATTTTTCACAGATGCTGCTGCTGCTGTACAAGAGTATTAGAAAATGTCCACATTTCAATTGTAGTCTATTCCAGCCAAACAGACCATTAATATCAATTACTAACTTGGCACTGGGTGATTAAGATGTCCAGAAATATTCACACCAACCTCTGAAGTGGTCAAGGTTTGACTTGTTAGCGTGGTCTAATTAACTCTTGCCAGTATAATAAAGCAAAAAAGAGACTTTCTCCACTAACAGTCATTTAAAAGGAGTTATTTAGACTTGCACAGTAAATAAATCACTGATATCTTTCATTGAATTATAGCCTAGTAGTTTTGTCAGTCAGAAAAGTGAAAAATTGAGTGACGATTTTTTAAGAAAGCATACATGTTTGCAGATTTCTCTCAATATTAGTGCAAAAAAGCAGAGTTGGCTTAAGAGCTAACTGAGGACGATAACCATTTAATCATAGCTATACATTTCTTTTAATTATAGGGTAGAAAAAATCGGCTATCATGACAGCAGGGGACAATATTGTAAGAGAAGGATTTTTTCAGCAGATAAACCTAGAGTTGTGCTGACACAGATAAAGATACAGTGATGTAGTGTATCGACAATAGACTGAGATATCGGGAACAGCTAATACCTCTGACAAAATCAAGATAATATATAGCTAGTAGATCCAGAATGAGTAGATTCAGCTCTAAAAGCAGTTTCACCACAAATGCAGTGACATACGCAGAAAGTAATGTATATTTACTGTAGAATAGTCTAACCATGGTTTAAAACTTGACGTTTCTGTGAACAGGAAGTTGCTGCAGACTTTTCTTTTCAGTGTGATGATGGCTTATTTTCAACTGAAACTAAATATTGAGTAGGGGCCGGGGTTTTATTGTTGTGCACGTCCACTCATCTTTCACGCACAACAAACTAACGGTTGGAGGAGGGACATGGCTAAGCATATTTTGCCCAAGATGTCAGACTGACATCATCAGAGAAGGACTGTCATCAGAGTTCTTTTAAAGCAAGTAATTTCACACGGCAGCCATCACTGAAACGCCTCTCAGGCAGTATATGCTCGGGCGTTCTGTTTGAAGGGAAACATCAAACTCTCCAAAATTGCCTGCCAAGCTTAAGATTTAAATTTATTTTAGGAATCACCAATAAGATTAAAGAACAACTGTCACTTTAGTTTAGTTTCGAAACATTCAAACACACAAAATCTGCAGAAACTCTCGTCTGGTCTGGGCCAGTTTAGCGATCAATGATTAGCTCCTGTACTAGAAGGCGGGGCTTAATTTGCCGTATTGATCGTTACACTTTTCTCCATGTAAAACTACACAAGTGACATGCCTTGTGTATTCTATAGTCTTTGCTGCTATTCCAGAGAATAAGCACATTTTTATTAAAACCAGATTTTAATTAAAGATTAAAAATTTTTTTCCAGTGGATTAATTTGCATGGATTAATAATTAACCTTAGCACTGACATTTCTGCGCTAGCAAAAATAAACTATGTTAATGTCATGTTGACTAACTTATTTGTGGTGTAAGTGCTTACAATACAAAGCACTAGGAATGCACCAATCCCTATACTTGGATCAGATATTGGTTCGATACCTCATATTTTTGCTGGATCGGGTATCGGCCAGCTGGTACTGATCGAAATCCAGTCAACAAAAGCCATGAAGATAGCCTATTATAAGGGTTTAGAAAGTTGTCATGTAGGCCAACACAAAAATCTATTCAAGTGCTTAAATTCATGTTCACTTCAGCACTTCCCGCCACTGTGCCTGTCAATCATTCTCCATTCATTTCCAATTCAAACTGTGTGTCTTTCATATATTACTTGAGTTTATCGCCAGAACTATAGAAACTGTGCATAAAATAATAATTAAAAACGGCACAGTGTCGAGACTGGATCTGTACTGGTCGACACTCAGAGTTTTGGTATCGGGATTGGATCAGTTCCAAAAAAATGGTATAGGTGCATCCCTACATAGTACTGTATTATTTGTATGTAATAAACAAACATATCTTTATAAAATATCTTTTTATAGGGTACCTTACCAAGTTTTGCTTGTTTTGTGTTGCTTTGTGCTAGAAAGATGTTAAACTCTAACGGAGGCCATGAGAATGGCTATAGCAATTTAAGATAATCCAAGCATCCACTTTTCCTAAATTCATCATTCATTCATTTTTCTTCAGTTTAATTCCTTTATTTATCAGGGGTCGCCACAGCGGAATGAACCGCCAACTTATCTAGCATATGTTTTAAACAGGGGATGCCCTTCCAGCTGCAACCCAGTGCTGGGAAACATCCACACACACTCATTCACACTATGGCCAATTTAGTTTATTCAATTCACCTATACCACATGTCTTTGGACTTCTGGGGGAAACCGAAGCACCTGGAGGAAACAACGGGGAGATCATGCAAACTCCACACAGAAATGCCAACTGACCAAGCGGAGACTCTTCTTGCTGCGAGGTGACAGTGCTAACCACCAAGCCACCGATCGCCGACGCCTATTTTTTAAATAAAAAAGAATCAGCTGCACAATCTAAAGTGAAACAAGTGGGTGTAATGAAACAGCTGTGTGATACTTGCTATAGTTATAGCACTATAATGAACCCACAATTCAAATTGTGAGAAAGCACCATTTAGGCCCAATCTCAATTCTATTTTTGTATCCCTACCCCTTCCCCTTAGCCCTTGAAACAGAGTGTAAAGAATAAAGCTTCAAAATGTACCCCTAAGAAATGAAACATTGGCATGGGACGATAGGCGTTTAAGGTATACCGCAGTTTGGAAAAGTCAAGATTTTAAAACCACCAATATTTTCTGTAATACTGTTCCTAAGGTGTGTGTGAGATTTTTTATTTACATATTTCAGGACAAAAGTATCACCAGCAGAAAATATATCGAAAGATACCGTTTTAAGTTGTAAAGAAATCTGTGTTTTTGAAACAAATGAAGACAGCAGAAATCTTAGTCTGACATGTTTACTGCTCCAAAATACTTTAAATGTTTCTCAAAATAAAACATATTGTGTTCAAAGGGGGGAAAAGTTGTTTTTTACCCAGATATTTAAAAATATATATATTTCAGAGCAGTAATCACAAAACCGTGAAACCGTAATATTTCTATCCAAGGTTATCATACCGTCAGAATCTTATACCAACGCATGCATAGACACCACAAGACGTGCACATGTCATCGCAATCCCTTGCTTCATATGAGATCGACAAAGGCAATTGCTGTAGTTATTCCAGTTGCGCTATTTGTTGGTATTTATCTTCCAGAAATCACTAATATATCGTGTTATCATATCAATATAATGTGGCATTGTATAATAGGATTATAACTATACTGTGCATTTACACTGTGGCCATATTCATCTATGTAAACACACTAAAGTATTATTACATTATACCAGACACTGTAAAAGGGTCACTCTCAGCCACTAGACTTTTCTGACGGGGTATTCCGAGCGTCAAAGTGACTGAATGTTGTGGGACTACTATACAGGAGTTATTATAAGGGATTATAGATAGCGACATTTAGCGTTTTTTATTTTATCAGGTTATTTCCTAAAGCATTACGGTGTGAATTATGAATGTATTAAAACATATGCTTGTTTGTTGTAAAAATTTGTAATAATGACAAAAAAATACCAATTTGTGCATCTTCTGACTTCTATGTTTAGCCATGCTATAAACCAGCTTCACCTCTATCTATATGATTTCCCTATTTGCAAAGAATACTTTTATATATGTGTGAATATAAAACCAAACTGCTTTGCTTGGCAATACAACTCAATTGTGTGGTTTCCTATAAATGTTTTGAGGGGGGAAAAGCAGGATGTGTATATTCAACATCACATGCTTGCATTCATGCTGCCGGTGTGAATATTCAGCACAGGCTGTGCTTATCAGCCCAATCTTTGCCATGCTGTTATTCAGTACAACAGCACTCGTGAGTATGAGAATAATCTAATGAACAACCCTGATTCAGGATGAAATGACGTTTAAACCAAAACAACGTAAAATAAACAAAACAAACATCATGGCGAGGAGTAACCTGGCGTATTTCTGCATTCCAGGGCAAAACCATGACCCACATTTTCTTAAAAGGAGCAGAAACAAACCCACACTAGCCATGCAGCTAACACACACTTCTCTTTATACTGTATATATAACACACACAGCTAAAGCTAACCAGCTAGTAGGAAGGTGTTATATGCAAAACGACTCACTGCCCAAAGACAAAGGGCGGCGGGGGAAGAATTATGAAAACATTTGCATAATCACAAAAATCACAGTCTTAATTGTTCCTCATGTCCGTGAAGAGCGGTCGAGCTTTACAAACCCACCACGATGTTTCAGAGCCCCAACAAGCCGAGAAGGAGACAAGGGAAGCAGCGCAGACCCCCCAAAAAAACAACAGCACAAATTGACTCGCATTTCCTGGAAACGCTTCGCTTCCTACCTCCGGTTCCGTCCGAGTTTTCGTTTAAACTGCCTGAAGAATCATGATGACTGCCCACACAGCCACCCATGGATGTTTTCATGCGCCTCTTCCCCCCGCGGACCCGCTCTGGTTCGGTTTCCCCCCGTCCTCTCTCTCTGCCGGGATAGAGATTGACAGGGCGCGGGCATCAGCTGTGGAGAGGCGGGGCGGGTTTATGCACACGCGGCTGTAACTCAAAGCCTAGGCATCTGCCTGTTCGCCGAGCGTTCGGAAAGCGCACACTCGAGGTGCTGACATGCTGTTTAGGTAGGCTCCTCGGTAGGTTTCGAGACGCGGCCAAGGTGTTCGTCTCTAGTCCGCTCACGGTAAAGGAGCTGAGGGTGATGGACAGACAACGCTGCTTGAAGAGTGTATATTGATTATATGCTAAAGAAAAAGGGATTCAAACTGTAAGTCTTAACTGTAAGACACGTTAAACAAAATGTAGGTCTTGTCTGTAGGACGTGTTTCCTTGAATTAGTTTTACGCGGTTTTTAACGTGTTTTCAACGTTTATAACGGTTGCTCTGTTTTTGTATAATAATACAATTTCCAATAATTCGTTGAAATTCGTTTTAAACGAAACTAAAAATATATCAATTATCAACGCCTTGCGGCCCCAGTTTGAAAACCCTAGTTTACAATCAACATAATAATATCAACAACAACAACAACAACAATATATATATATATATATAATTGAAATTATGTTACTCTCAGACTCATGAGCGCACACAAAAACACTAGAAGAGGAATGTAAATATTTAATAAATACAAATAACTTTAGAAAAAAATTAAGAAAGAAAGAAAAAACAAAAATACAATACCCTCCTAGGGCTTGAGGGTCCACATATGTGGACAGCACATTTTAGCTCTTAAGTGGCTATTTAAAAACTTTGAATGTTTTCTATTTTGTTACATGTCATCTTGCAACTATTTTGCAGCATATGAAATGTCCAAAACCCTATTTTTAACTGTCCAAAAAAAAGTAGTTTTTTTACTCTCTGATAGTCAAAGCAAGTAAAAAATCCTTTGTTAAATATGAATTAAAAACATTCAGGAAAAAAAGTGTTTTATGTAAATTCGGACCACAAGTCCACATCATTTTTCTCTAAAAGTACATCATATCACAAGATAATACGTAGATTTTTATTCTTATTAGGTTCCAATAAGCCCAAATAGCAAAGAGAAATAAAAAAATGCATGGAAAAAACACCCTTGGCCTTAACTAATAAAGGCACATGGCAGGTAGGGTGCAGTGAAGAGTGCAGTACAATGAGACTTTGTTAAAGCGACAGAGCTATTTTTTACAGTAGGCTAGACCTATATAATAAAAATAATGATATAATAATAATAATATAATAACAGCAATTAGGGTCCAACATCATATTTGAAAATATGCATCCATGGCATCTAAAAAAATGTAAACAGCTGCTGAATTAATGAGGCTCTAACAATTTATTAATGCGTTTTACTGACTCATGATTAATATTTTTTTTCTCTTTTAATGCCAAAAATGTCTCTTCAGCTATTTGTTTGGAACTGATGTGTGGCGCGCCCTAGTGAACAAAAGTGTGCACTACAAAGTGTACACTGCTGCGGACAGATTTGCAGGCCAAAATGTCAGCGTTTATAAAACTACATTAAGAAAATTTTTTTTAAAGTTTAATAATTAGAACATTTAATTAAAAAAAAAGAAAATTATGATGAATAAAACATATTTTACATACATTATTGTTGTTGTTTTTTTTAAATATAATAAAGGATTAAGTGAACTATAAGGGACTCAAAGGGTGACTCGAGAAGCCATGATTATATTCTGATACTAATACACTGGGCTCTTTGTGGGACTTGTGGTGGTGGGGCAGTGGTTTAAAAATACAAACATCACATAATGAAACTATTAAATAATAAATTAAGGTAATAAACAGATATTTCGTATGCCTCCATGGCAACCTGCTGCAATGTCATGCCTCAACTAGATGATAATTGTATGTCTGCACAATATGTAAACACCATCTGATGCATGTGACTCATAAGAGAAGTCAGGGAGGACGTTCTCTGATGACAATCAACAACAGAAAATCATTAAAGACTGTATTTCCAGACCGCTGTCTCATAGTGCACATAGTGTCTCATGAGAGCATATAATAATATGAATATAGTGAGTACTCAGAGTTTCCATTTGACATCATCACATTGTATATGTCATAAAGCTTATTAAGTCAAAATTATTTGAAATTTAAAATATTTTTAAAAAGTCATTGGATAACTGAGGATTGTTCTGTAGACAATGCGGGAGATCTGCAGAGTAAATGGCAACATCAATAGCCTGAGGTGTCAAGACATTTGTGCTGCCCATTACATTACCATCCACAGGAGAGGGCAAATTCTTCAGCAGGACAACGCTCCTTCTCATACTCCAGCCTCCACATCAAAGTTCCTGAAAGCAAAAAAAGTTCAAGGTGCTCCAGGATTGTCCAGCCTAGTCCCTGGATATGAACATTATTAAGCATGTATGGGGTAAGATGGAGGAGGCATTGAAGATGAATCCAAGGAGTCCTGATGAACTTTGGGAGTCCTGCAAGAAGGCTTTTTTGCCATTCCAGATAACTTTATTAATAAGTTATATAAGTCATTGCAGAGATGTATGGATGCAGTCGTCCAAGCTCATCGGAGTCATCCAAAATATTAATTCTTTTTCCACTGCACCATGACTTTTATTTTATATTGTACATTATTTCCGTTAAGTGACAAGACTTTTGTCTAAGCAAAGTCAGACCTTACTGTCCTAATTAAAAATCAAGGCATCAGATTTTATTTGGTAAAATAAGGGTAATCTAGAGGCTATTGCCTTCCTTATTAGCCCCTTCTGATACCAAATGATCAACTAGAAGTCAAGTTATTATTTGTTGTTCCTAAAACTTGGATAGAAATAATACTTTTGTCTTCAACTGTATTTAAATACTCAACACAGGGTGGCAGCAAACTACTGAAAGAAGAAGTGTGGGACTTTGAAAGTGCATTATCTTGCGTTTTATTTTGGCTTAACTATAAATACTTTGAGGGGGATGGGAATCAGTATGTTTTCCATGGAGTTATGAATTTATTGCCTAGCTTAAATTGAATTATGGAAAGCTCCAAAACAGTCGATTATTTGTTATTTGTTCTAATATTTAGCTAATTATTCAATAAATAATATGTTGCATAATATCATATATAATAAAATAAATGTTTTGATACTGGCATATGTATCTACATGCACAATTGCATTTTAAGCCGTCTTTTTCATTATATAAGTGAACTGCCAAAAATATAAATTTGCCCTAAGTCACAGGTGTCAAGCTCAGTTCCAAAATGGACGCAGCTCTGCACAGTTTAGTTCCAACCCTAATTAAACACACCTGATCAAACTAATTAAGTCCTTCAGGCTTGTTTGAAACCTACAGGTAAGTGTGTTGGAGCAGGGTTGGAACTAAACTGTGCAGGGCTTCGGCCCTCCAGGAATTGAGTTTGACACCCCTGCCCTAAGTGTACACTGTAAAATTACCTTTCATTTACAGTAAATTTCTGGCTAATAATTGCATTACTTTCACAGTAAGGTACTGTATGTAAATTCACAGTAAATTACTGTGAGGTACAATAATTCTGTAAGTATTTCTAAATATGAAAACAAGTGCGTGTACTATAGCATTAGTTAATGTGAATTAATTTCTGTTGAAAAAAATAGTAATAGTGTTTGAATTCCTATAACTAACGTGCAAGATATAAGATATCTCATGTTTTACAGTAGTTTGCTCTAATCATGATGCCTGTCTTAAATTCACAATAAAATTCTGAATATGTAAAATTAAAAAGTTAAATCCTGTAAAGTGCCACTAATGTAATTTACAGTGTTAAATTAAAGTAACATGTTGTGAAATTTTACACATCCCTTTATTCATGTGCTTAATACTTTCAATACCTTGTGTCATTTCATTTTATTACACATAACATAATTTTCTTTCTATAAATGGATTATTTTGGTTGTTACTGACATCAATTAAGTTAACAGCACCTTTAAGGGGGTCACACACCAGATGTGCCGCTCAGCGACACGCTGCACCACACAGTGCAATGCATTTTAGAATTGTAAACATAAACTTCTATCAGGGTACGCACACCAGCGCTGCAAGTCAGCAACTCTCAGTGGTGCCCAGCTACGCCTCAGAACACTGTTCATATTTCTGCCATGCCACAGAGCGCCATCTGAATAGTTCATTTTAAATAACATGCGAATGTGTGCATTTGATGTGCGATACTTCCAATTGTCATGTGCACGCTGCTGAGCACATCCGGTGTGCGACCCCCTTAAGAAATATGATTTCTGAGAAAGCTATGATGTTCAATGCTTATTTTATCCGCTGTATGTATTTATGTATGTATATAAAACAACAACCAATTGCATTTAAGTATCAAAAGTCATCTGTTGTTTTATTTATTTATTTATTTATTTAATTGATAATTCAACACTTTTAATTAGCATTAATATATTAATATAATATTTTTTATAGGTGTAATAACACATTTTTTTCCCATCGTGATATACTAGATTGATTTAACCCTCATGTATAAATTAAACAGTCATAATTAGTGTTCAATTTTCATGTTAATTATTTATGATTATTCCTAATTGATGATATTCTTAATTGCTGATAAATATAAATATTTAATAAAATTGAATCAATAAATTAGCACTGTGATAATGTGTGTCATTAATAATGAGTCACTGCGCAAATGAACATGTTTTAAAAGAGATTTACAATCCATTCTGAAACATTAACATTATGTAGAGTTAAAGATGACATTATTAGCCCTCCTGTAAAAAAGAAATGCAGTTTTAATAATTAATTTCTAACAATCTTGTTTTTATGACTGATTTTGCTACTTAATTTTTAAGACACTTAGCTTAAAATCCTATTTAAAGGCTTAACTTTGGTAATTAGTTTAGGTTAACTAGGCATGTCATTGGACAACAAGAAACTATAAGAATTTTTTAAGGGGGCTAATAATATTGATCTTAAAAAAATAGTTTTTAGAACAATTAATCAATTAATCAATAAAACTGCTTTTATTACAGCCAAACTTAAGAAAGTTTTTCTCTGAAAAAAAAAGGAAATACTGTGA